ATCGAAGCAGTTGATTGACGCTAGCGTTACATCACGAATTGAAAAAGTTAAAATTCAGGGGTTATTGAATTTCAGCCCAACTAGCGGAATATCCTTGGTTCGATCTCTGGTGCTGTCGTGGGTGCACACTGCTGAATTGTCCCAAAATAGGATGAAACACCTGCCCAGAGTACCCTAGATTCTCAATGATCTCTCACTGACTGATGTTAAAAATGGCTTCATAATTTGGTGTCCTTCTCTAACTTTTTTTCTTAGCCTAGTCCTCCTAATATGAATGTCATTGAAAACTTCATCCGAAACAATACCAACTTGGAGGATAATTCCAACTCATTAATTGTACATTCATTACGAAGTCATACCAAGCTATTGTTACATTATTATTCCCTTGGATTTCGAATGGAACATAAAGCCGCAACAGAACATCTCCACTTTTTCTTGTTCATTGCAGTCCTCTTTAGCTTATCTTATGATTTTGAATAGGCTCTCATCTCCTCTTCACTTGATCTCCACCATGTCACCTTAGGACTTGCCACTCACCGTTTACCACTTGGTTTCCACTCAAGCAACAGCCTGGTAGGTGATGTTACTTAATGGTCGCCTTAGCATGTGTCCGATCTATCTCTACTTTGTTCCGTAGCACAGCGGTTAGGACGCTCGCTGACCATGCACATGGTCCGGGGTTGAATCCCTGGTCGACGCACACCTGATATGAATGGTCGGCCTGCTAAATTTGCGCTACCGATATCACATGCTGAAAATTCCATACTTGTATCAAAAATACTGTGTGGAGTTAAGCTATAATAAAATAAAATAAATAAAATATTTGTTGAGCAATAAGTTGTTGACTGATTTGTTCCCCTTTGTTTGTTATTGGTACATAGAGGCTTCAGACTGATACATAAAACATATCCTCTAGCTTTTGTCTTTTGTTGCCGAGTGAAGTGAAATGCTTTTTCTCAATTTGAAACAATTTCTAATCATTCTGGTGAATAAAATTCAGCATTCATATAGCATACTGTTAGCCATACCTGTTTTGTAAAATATAATAAAATCATGAGCTATGGGCATATATCTTACAGTGTTTGACTACTTGAATCCTATACAGTAGATTAAGAATTTGTAAACAGCTGAGTTGTGAAGTTTATTTACTGGTGATCCTATATAGTTTTTGATTTGACACAAGTAACTAGTGTGATGTGTCTAGTCCTGTCTTTGGTGCAGACTGAATTCTATCAGTCAGGTTTTGCAATGTGGTCAACATTCTATGTAGCTCGCCATCACGGTGCACGTTGATTTGATGATATTAGATGGTTGGAGGTAATCCGCAGGAAGCCTTGAACCTAGGTTTCGTGCTAGTTGGCACTCGTCAGCAAGGTGTGCCTGCAACCTTGAAAGAACTCATACCTCTTCTGAGATTCGAACCCTTGTCACCCAGTGCTGCAGGCAGAGACGTTACCACTGATGTATTCGGGTACAAGATCTAGGTTCAAGGCTTCCTGCGAATTGCCTCCAACCATCTAATATCATCAAATCCTATATAATCTTGATCAGATTGCTTAGATAGTTGGATTAGACGTCATTGTTTGGTTTACTTTCACATAAGCTAACGCTTCTCGCACCTGTAAACTTGTTTAGTTTGTAATCTATATATACAAAGCATTTATCAAGAATAAACTAACAATTCGTTTTGTGCCTGCTTAGAATGAAGTTTGTCACATATTCGGTTTAACATGGCTAATAAGCAATACATTTTTGAAAGTTAGTACTAAATTACAGCTAAATTTTATTTCACTTGAAGGTTATTCAGTAATAAATAAGAGGTAATCTGAAGAAACGCTGAAAGGTAATTTGATGTTAATTAAGTTCGGCTTGTATTAAACTCATTTATACGTATAACTCAAACTACGGAAATAAACGACTCATAATTACTCATTTTCTGTTATTGTAATGACTCAGTTGCTAAAACTGGCCACGTTTTAATTAAATTCTAACCAAGTAGCCATTCATTTTGACTTTGATATGATCAATGACACAAAATCTTGACAAGTAAGTTTTTATGATAACATTCGTATTTTATTAAGATAATGAATATACTATTTATTAACTTCTTATCATGCCAACAGCGTAGTTGTATTATATATGTCCAAACCAAGTTCACTTTTAACGGTTTGAAAAAATTTGGGCATTGGGTATATGATATTCATTATAATAAAGGTTTTTGTATTTCCCAATGAATGAAAAACAAAACGACATTGTTTTTACTGACGTTTCGCTATTTAATGCTAATAGCTTTCTCAAAGTATTATTAAACCAGAATTTACAAAATCTCAGCATATATATAACAAAGAGTTAAGGGGTGAGAAAATAGACTTAGGTCAAGTTAAAAGGACATAGTGAAAGTTAAAATTACAATGAAGATCACCAAACCAAATATTAAAGTCTATTTTCTCACCCTTTAACTCTGTTATATATATGCTGAGATTTTGTAAATTCTGGTTTAATAATACTTTGATTAAGCTACTAGCATTAAATAGCGAAACGTCAGTAAAAACAATGTCGTTTTGTTTTTTCATTCATTGGGAAATACAAAAAAACCTCTATTATAATGAATATCATATACCCAATGCCCAAATTTTTTCAAACCGTTAAAAGTGAACTTGGTTTGGATATATATAAATTCCAACTTTTGTTAATTTGCGAAAGATAACTCGACCGCCAGCCAATGTCACCGGCGAGTATCTGTTCTCACAACAGAAATTGGGAGACCCTACTTTGTAGTGAGTTCTCCCTAGAAAAGGGTTTAACAAGACGTATTTGAATACAATGTTTAGGTTTTGCCTAGGTTTAACTATATGGAGAAATCGTGAACTTTTAGGGTGAATGAATTTATTCCTGTAGATAGCTCTAAAGGATCAATCATGAGGGAGGGCGGGCCTATTCAAGAAGGAGGCGTTCACAGATAAGAGACTATATTCGCCTTTCATCAGTCAAACTGGATAGTATTCAGCTTTTCATTTCCAGAGAACATGCTTACAATATCCAGTATAATCAACACCATAAAAGCGTGTTAAAGAGTAGACGCACATAGAAAAAACAATTAGACTAAAGATGTTTGTGTTTCCTTTATATTATACACAAAAATATGTTAGATTTACGAGGGACCGAGAGAGACCTTTTTTACGCTTTATCTTTATTATTATTTATTCAGATTCTCTGCTAACATTTTGGTTGTGTGATACAGACAATGTGTTCCAACGGTTTTAGCAACAGAGTACGATATACCTATTTGGACATTCTATTTCATGTCGTTTAACGTAAACCAAGATCACACGCTCAGTGATTCGTTGACGAATATATATAAACGGCGGTTTGATTAATGAAAAAGATACCTTGGCTTCCGTGTCTTGCCTTCTGTTGTTACATTCAGTGTCGCTGCCCACCGAAAAATGGAAAGCCTATACCCTACAGTTTTTTGAAGAAGGAGACATATAGATCTGACAGAACTTCAAGGTTGTTGCGCAGTTGAGTGGCGCTCAAGATCCGTCACAGATGAAGCTGCTACTTGGATAGCTGCTGGAAGGTCGGGCGACGACAGCATATGACCGTGTTAGACGAATACGAGCCAGGGGCATACAAACTGCTTCCAAAGTGGGAAGGACCATACATGGTCACCGTAAGACGAGGTGACGTATATACGATCAGAAATGTAAACAAAGAGAAGCTGGTGAACGCTGGCGAGCTTTGAAACTCGATACAGCAAGATAAGCTAACAAAGTCACCAGCACCAAGAAGATAGAACCGACTTCAGTCGAAAGTTTTTGATGGAGGGGGGACGAGTGTGGTAATGTGATGCAGACACTGTGTACCAACGGAATATTATTCTCACAGTTCACCACGGCATTAGCAACAGAATACAATATATATATTTGAACATTCTATTTCATTTCGTTTGATGTAAACCGAAATCACACGCTCAGTGATTGGTTGACGAATATAAACTGTAGATATATAAACAGAGGTTTGATTAATGAAAAAGATACCTTGGCTTCTGTGTCTTGCCTTCTGTCGTTACAACATTATTGTAAGCTGTTGTTAATGCACAGATCAATAGTAGTAAAAGGAACATTAGTTGATCGCGTCCTTCTTCTCTTCCCGTATTTTTTATATATAAACATATTTATGACAGTAAAAGTCATAAAATTATTCATTAGTCTTGTTTAGTAGACTATGCAAGTCATAATAATAATAATGATTATTATTATTGTTGTTGTAAATGGATTTTATTACTCTGACATTTTTACTTCCTCAAAACATTTTTTCTCATCCCTATGGTATTTTTCTTGTTATGATGATCGTTTTTGTAATTTAGAATTCAGCGATTCATCGCATTCCTTTTGTCCCACTTAGTATTCGTCAACTGGTTATGTCAACGCGTCAGTGAATACATCTATCTGTTTGATGTGCTCATTTTTTTCAAATATTGGTTTGCAGAGATTTGGTTGATTTCAATATTAATCACGAACTGTCTTCATCAGTTAGAGAATCATTGGAAACCAGTAAGGAGTACTAAACAGTTTGGGATCTATTCAGCAGTAAGTACTCACACATAACCCCACTAAGGATCAAACCCGGGATCTTCATGTTATGAGTCTAACTTGTTAGCCATTCACCCATTGGGACGGAATCCAATCGCTGACTAGTTCTAACTTTTAATAATTCACGATAATATAGTCCAACCGCTAGCCAATTTCATCAGTGAGTATCTGCTCTCATCTCCAACCTTGGTGTGAACTTCATCGGTTACAACTTTTCACTAGAAACTATAGTTTTGATCTGTTAAACGTTTACTACATGTCCAGCTGCTTGGGACTAAATAATACTGCTAAAATCTCATATACATCCCTATCTTGTAGACTACGAATTAAAATGTTTGATCGGTCTGTACTAATTTGTTTTGTCTTTTTATTTTTCCTACCCTCTCTCTTCTGCTTCAAATGTAGTTTTCGTGCTTCCATGCAAGCAAGACGGTTAGGAATCCGAACTAGAAGAGAGAAATTAGTAAGTACTAAAGTGTATTTTGTGTTTTATCATGCACTTTCATCATTGTGAACTGGTATATGTAAGCAACAGTGTAACCTAAGAACCTGTGACTTATTTTCTGAATGAGCTTATTGTGTGAGTTACTTAGTCCACGTCTAAAAAATGTTTTCAACTTAAGAAACAGTTAAGTTGTTTCGACGGTTATTTATATTCAAGCCTGAGTGGTCCTAAAATAGCGTCTTTGATTGGAGAGAGAGAGTGAAATAATTTGGTTTCTCTTCAAGATGACATCACTCCCCTTGAGGTGGTAAGTGCACGCTGTTGACTAGAGCTAGTCCTGTCCGACACCGTTTACTAATTGTCTCATATAATCTGGAATAGATTAAAACTTCATCATGGTAACAAGCCTTCCAATTTATTAACTGCGTTCTCACACTTTATTGCTAGAATTCGGTTAGCACTAGTGACGAAAAAAGGCTACGTTCAGTGCGGTTACCTCAATGATCAGCTGTCTTACGATATACTGCATATAATACAGAGTTAATTCATTTACGTTCGGGCTTCAAGCTAGAGCTCTAAAGTTTCGGTAGCAGTGGTTTTATTTTCACGGGGTGAAGTTGCTAGCCTCACTCCCAACCTACCCTCTTTGCCGAATTTACTTCCGGATTAATGAGGTTCAGGAGTGCATCGGCCAAGGATCGAACGCCAGACCACGTTCGTGGTTGGAGAGTATTTCACTGCTGAAACACCGTCGTATACTTAACTTCTCGTACTCCGCCGATAAACCAAATGTATTCACATTATAGTCACTCAGTGATAGTGTCTTTGACTGCAACACTGGTAGAGTCGGATTTAAATATTCGCAGGGACACTCTAATTCTTTCGAGATTACAGATATACCTTGCTGAAGAGCGCTAATTGAACACGAAGCCTATATCTTTAGCCTTCTGCTCATTGTCCTTCTACAACCGAATATCCATTCAGATAGGTAAATCGAAAATTCTTGTAACGGAGTATTACTGGCTTTGTTGGTTGTCGTCTAACTTGACTAGAATACACTTCTAGACACGACATTAAAATATCGTGAAAAAAAGAATATTCCTCATACTGAGGTAGACACAAAAGTCAGATTTCCTTGCAACAAAGTTTTATTCTTCAAAATACAGGGAATATATACCACCTACACGTCCACGAAAATCTAAACCATAAACAGATGACCAGTGTCTGACTGATAGCGTGACCTTGAAGGTCCTCCAAAAATAAATCAATCAAAGGTACGCACCCGTCGAGGTTCAAACCCAGGACCTTCTGGTCACAAGGCGAGCTCGTAGATCATTAAGCCACTGGGACCCGATCCAATGGCCAGTCAGACCATGAATTCTTACTTCTGTCAATTCACTACATAGCGCGACCACTAGCCAATGTCTTCGGCGAGTATTTTTCCTCACAACCGACCTGCTGCACCTTACTGGTCACGACTTCCCACTATAACCCCAGGTAACTATCTACCTGAATAGGGCTAGTCGTCAGTGAGCATCTCATCGATATTCAAGTGTTGGTTTGTAAGGATTTGATTGATTGGTTTCAGGATTTCATCATGAGCTGACATTGGTTAGAGAACCATTGGAAAACCAACTGGGAGTACTGGACAGCTGTTTTGTCCTGGGTTCCAACCCTGGGGGTGCGTTCTACCGAAGGGTCTCAGACTAGGACGAAACAGCTGTCTAGTACTCTCAGGTTTTCCAATAGTTCTCTAATCAATGTCAGCTCACGATGAAATCCTGTAACCAATCAAATCCCTACAAACTAACACTTGATAATCAATCAAAAACTGTTCAATTAGATTTTCAAATCAGTGCAAGCGCCAATCATGTCTTTACAGCTAACAACGATAGGTTAGCTTTGTGCTAACAGAAATATTGTTATCATTTTCATTAATTTATAACTCACACCATCCATCTATTCATACTCTGGTCGGCGTATAACTTTTTAAAATGCATCCAGAGAGAATTTCACGATACCTTCATTGATTCACTCGAAGTTAACGAAGTTAACCAAGGTAAGGTGGTGCTACCTCTGTGCTACTTCTTTTCTATAAAAAGATTTTAAGCAATCACCTCGCTTATAGAGGAATAGTTAAATTGTGCTGTTAAAAACAGCCTATTCAATTCAAAACGGAAGTGTTACTTTTAAAGCCTTATATCTAAGTCAGTTGGACAATTTATTTACTCTGGTGATCTCAGTTTTTACACATCAGTCAATCTGTCAATTATTCGTTTTGAAAAAAAACCTTGTAATAAAGTGAATTCAAAATTATGATTGATACAAGTTGTTGTTTATTTATTCAACGTAGACTTTACAAGTTTACAAGAGTAGACACATATGAAGCGCTCTGCATACAAAGACATTTTCATATCTGTGCATAGTTAGTTAATTAAAAAAACACAGTTCAGTTTTATTTTGAATGTGGAGAATAATGAAAGTGATGATGATGATAATAACAGCAATAAAATTGTTTATAAAGTTATAATGATCTTTGTAGTTGGCTCATGTATGCTTACGTATATGTGCCTGCTTCTGTGCGTGTGTGTGTGTTTGGAGGGGTTTGAATGAACACTACTGAAGTTGTGGTGAGAGCAGGCTGCTAGTCAATTGGTAGACATTAATTTACGTCAATGTCTATGTCGCTAATATTGGCCGTGAGAAAATATGAACAAGACTGATTCAACAACCAATCACATCAGACTTAACGTGGGCAAATACAATTCGCAGATATATGGCTTAACTTTCTGAGGAACCAGGCACAAGCAGTACAGAATAGCCTTGAGCAAGAAACAATCAATCAGAAGACTGTGTTTGTCTGCTTGAATAAGCGATAATAATGTACATGAAATATATACATAATTCCCTTAATAAACGATCTGTTGCCTGGCCCTTGTCTTCTGTTGTTTCTGTTAATATTTCTTTTTAAAACCATTTCCTCCACAGAAAGCACTTTTACCTCCTGTCCATGAAAACAGTGAATTATGTGATTTCTCATCGAGAGCAACTTCTAATTATAAAAAGTCTTCCAATGCAGTCAGAAGAGGAGGAGATGGAGCATTCGTAAATAAAAAATCCTCTGAAAAATCACCAGTACGATTTATGAATCATAAAGATGTGAAACGACAAGAACGTGGTAAGTAATTTGTATTCGATATTTGCATTTGATGTTCTGGTTGTTATTCATTCTTAGTGTCTGATAAGTGTAAAGCCAATGGATTATATCATCAATCTTGATCTCAATATTATGGTTTTAATAACTGAACATAATGCAGTGTTCACATTTCTAAAGTTCAATATCGGAATTCTTATAGGGCAGGATAGGAGACACGGTAACAGTAAAGAATAGACACCAACTTCAGACGACCTTGAAACGACCAATAAGATTCTTCTGGGTGGAAAGTGGTACTTAATTTACAAAGAAGTGTAACTACGATGTATGTGTGATAAAAATGAATCATATATAGGTATATATCTCGAATATGCTGCGAAAACTGGTCCTAGATTCTCGTAGAAGTGCTTATAGACATATCAAATCAATGTATTCTCTATTTCTCCAGCTGTAGCAGATACTGGTTGCATATACGCAATATATACTACTAAGGGAGAGCTTTGGTTTGGAGAAGAAAGTGTCTAAAAAATCGCCAGTTATGATGTACGACTTACCAACTAATACAGACTTCCTTATATGAAGTGGTTGCCTCTGAATGTATAACCATCATCAATAGCTCGGCGGCAATACTTTTGCAAAGTTATTATCCGTCCACTGCATATGCATGTTTTATTCCTCCCTATCAACACATTATCTACACAGAGAAGTCAAAAACCAAATCTAGGAGACACTTTCAAAGGGGCCATTATGATTAGGAATCATTATTTGTAATGCTCAGCTATCTGATTGGTGGTCAATTCAAGGTCATTTAACTTTGTTGTCGATTGTTTACTTCTGCCGGATGCACTTCTATTTCACACTGTCGACTGATGAAAATGTGGCTTATTGACATCAGGACTTGACTTTCAGTAAAGTGGGTCTCGGATTTGTGTCCAGCCTCATATACTTCTGTCTGGACGACTGAGTAGTATCATCATCCTGCACATGGTTTGTGTAGCTCATGGCTTGATGCATTGCAGTAAGAGGTATGGTACTACATGAAGCCTATGTTTTTTATCTTGACTTACTGTTTATACGGTCTCTGAACGTCAAGTTGACGACATTTGAGAGGTTGGAAATCTTTAATCTTTGGTGAAAAGAGCAGAACAAGTAGTTCGGCGAAGGAAAGGTTCTTTTCTACGAATTCATTTTTCTTCAGTTGTGCAATTGTATTTGTGTCCAATTTTTTCTGTGAATGAGGGTAGTAACAAAAGCGATTAGTTCTTATAATCATAGTTGAATGAAGGTACTAGAGTTGCGTAATAAGATAAATAACTTCATGTGAATGAGTTGTAATCAGAATGCACATAGAAAAGCAGCGAAATGTGGGATATCACAAAAGTCACGAGGAGTTATGGAGAACAGAATTATTGTTATGATATTAGAAGTGGTTGAATAATTTCCTTTTGTATAGAGAGCTCTATTTTCTCTGTCTGAATTTCCAGTAGTTCTGCAATGCAGAGGAGACTACAGTGTATTGCCTTTGGCGGGTTATTTTTCACTTTGTAGATCACTATGAAGGATGAGTTTTTTGAGACAGAATGACCAGTGTTGACAAAGTGTTCAATTGTCGTACTCCTTATAAAGCCACTGATAACTTTCTGCAAAAGTGTGGGATGGTGTTCTTCAACCCTTTTAGGCAGAATACCTGTTGAACGACCAATATACCCGGGTCCATGAAAACAGGTGAACTGATATAGGTACATAGTGGTGTTCAGATGTGAGATATTGTTCAAAAGCTGTTTGTTATCACCTTAAACCTGCCTTGTTAATCTAAGCTAGAACCAAGGACCAACTTACTTCATAATATTTTCAACCTTCTCTTTGCCTTGTTTTTCTCTTTCTTACCCACACCTTTGCACCATCTCCCTGCCCATTATTTGTGACCTTGACCTGTACACAATCTGACCTGTTTTGTAATTATTCATGGTTTCTTGCCTTCTATAAAAACTGTGTATGACATGTACGTGTGTGATCAGAATGTCCGAAATGTGTTGCGTCAATGCATTACACGTTTCAGATAAACTACGTCTTCTTATTGTGTTGTCGAAATTCATAAAGGGAACTAATTGCTTTAGAGACTGTCTTTCATGCTTCTGAAGACCAGTTGATGACTAGAGAGTACTACCCCTTAGCGTTGCTGTTTTTCTCAAAAATGATGAAATTCTTCTCTTAATGATATGGCAAGTTAGATCTCCCTTGAAATCAAGGTTCATATAATAATAATATTTCGTCTACCTGAACTTTTGGTTTGATGTTCCCTTCGCTGAATCACTTGTTTTGTGCCTTATTCTTTGTTGATTTGAGTAACCACATCTAACTTTTTATTGCATTTTCCGTTTAATACAGTACTGCAGCAATAGTATTTGTCGTTTTCACTGGAGCATTTTTACCACTTTCTTTGTTGATCGTCATTTATATTTTCAAGTATTGGTTTTGTAGGGATTTTGTTTGATTGTATGGAAGATTTAATCATGAACTGACATCAGTTAGATAACAATTGAAAAACCTGGGAGTACTAGACAGCTGTTTCGTCCTAGTTTGGGACTCCTCAGCAGTACACATCCACCGGGGTTCCGCCTTTTATACTGTTGCTTGTGATGCAAGCATTTGTGGGTCTTCTTTGTCAGATGGATATTTTTAAAATTTTGTATGGACATGATGGCGACTGTCGGTGTTAAAATGGTGCTCATCAGGGAACAGTGCAAATCTCACCACTGAAGTTATCTCCGTCAAAAGTATAATATGATGAAAGCCTAAGAAATTTAGAACTGATACACTATCTTCGATGTGGATTTCGTCACCAAGCAACATCAATTAGAGATATTTGAAAAAATGAGGGACACTGCACAGCTGTTTCATCCTAATTTTAAACTCTTCATCAGGACGCACTCTCGACCCCATAAGCGATGTTCATCGATGGCAATGGTTGAGGGTACTGCTCTATCACGAATCGAGGAAGTTAGAATTCACGGGTGAGTGAATTCCAGTCCAAGTGGTTGATTAGTTACCAAGCTTTGGTATGGTAATCTGAAGGTCCTAGTTTCAATCTCTGGTTGTGATATGGATATTCACTGATGAGGAGTCTCAAGAGTGGACGAAGCATTCGCCTAGCACTCCCCGGTTTTCAATTGTGTCTGATTGATGTATTGGTTCGTGACGAAATCTTACAACTAGAATTAATTTTTGAATCCTCATAAAAATCCATAATCCTCAAAAATTACCCCACATAAAATTAGTCACTATAATTAGCTAATCTGTACTCTTCTATCTTTTCCTTTGATCAAGTAATATCTATCTCTTATGTGAACAACATTTTTACTGTTGATTATATCAGTCAATCGATTAGAGATATAAAAAAAAAGAATAATCACTCTGAAGCTTGTTCATTCTGTTTTTGACAGACAGATATCTTCTACCAAAGTGTTAATCAGTTACTTATGCCTGAAGTGATGATTCGTTTTTTTTTCACTTGGGTGGAAAATGAAGGGGAAAGCGAAGACAGGCAGTGTAATGTGGTATGTCATAAGTAATAAAAGATACTAAAATGGAGGGGGAGGAAACGGTCAGATAGATGAGGTTTCACATTCTTTTCTTCTTCTAATAATAATAATAATAGTGATCATCAAACAGAAAGACAGTTTGATTATGAATGAGTTTTTTGCTGATAGAAGCTATTTCTAGTCATGATATGTAGCACATAGTTGATTTTTATTTCATTTTCACTGTTATATAGTGCTGTAGTAGTAATAGTAATAGTATTTATCTTTTTCACTAAGACATTTTTGTAACTTTCCCCCTTTTTCATACTGTTTGCTTGTAATGCATTCAAATGTCTTCTTCTTCGACTGACTGAGTGATTTCAACGTAGAACTTTGTACAGTAGTAGTGCAACACTTCAAATCGCCACACTTTATGTACCACACAAAAGACGACAAAAGAGATTTAAAAGCACGTTAATAAGGAGAAATGTGAAGGGAAAATGAAGAATAGTAAAATGGCAGATCATAGAGAGTGTATGCATCTTCGTCATGTGGAACGATTCCAAGCCATATCACCAATCGTCTCCAGCCATTAGTTCTTAGAATCCTTAGAATCCTGACCAGTCAGTCTACATCTCTCTACGTGGGGTTGGTTCAAACTAACTGTTAAAGATTTCATGAACTGAATCACTGTTTTCGTTTGACCACTACTCCCTTTTTTCCAACCTGGTCCTATACCAGCTGAGATTCTGATCTTTACCCGTCTTCCTACATCTTGTTAATTTCTAGAAAGATATTTCACTTAACGTTCTATGTAAGGAAGTTTTGACATTCTGGTGTCACATAGTCTCTACTTTTACAGTTAATTTTTGTATTCTACCTATTCTTCTTTATTGTTCTCTCAACTTAATCTTTCCTGGGCTACTTAAGAAAGACTTTGTTGCACTGCGAAAGTCAGTAAAGGCTGTCAGTAGGGTAAGTGAAGTGTTGCTAAGCCAACTTGTTAATACACATGGACTCATGCAAGAAATTAGCAAATATTATCTTGTTGGACCCTGAGTATTCTTTTTATGATGTCCAACAATCGTCATATCTCTTCACCTGGAAGCGGCATTTGATTCTGCCGACCAAGAGATACTATGGCAATGTTTGGTTGTGAAGGGAATGCCGAGAAAATACATCGTACTGGTCAAAACACTCTACTGAAACTCATGCAGCCAAGTGAGAGCTTAACGCCAGTGGAGTTAACCCTAACTTCTGACCTCAGCGACTCAGGGATTAACTTGTTACCAGGGTACAATATTTTTAACTTAGAATATGCAGATGATATAGTTCTCCCACCTGGGAGAAGACGCTGACGCAGAGACTTCTGAACACCTTGAGGAGCAGCAGTCCAAGAATGCTTGGAATGCGATTTGCTCATGTCAAATGTAAGATTATCCGATTCTATGCGACTAGACGACGTCAGCTCCTAGCTTAAACATAGGAAGTGAAGTGGTAGAG